ATTATGGGTCAGGTTTGGGTTTCACCAAACCAGCCTCAAACCCGACCTGTTGCCATCCCTGGCAATTGTGCTTGTAACACAAGTCACAAGATTAAACAAGCAGTTGAAAGCCATGCGGGGGTCAAATACATTTTTCTTTAAAATGCTATATGGATACAAGATGAGATATCATCATTTTGACGCAAAGAACAGTGGTAGAAGAACATCAGGGAAAATTAGTAAAGGTTGCTCTAGATTGTCCTTTACCTTCTGCCTTATTTTGAGTAAAGACTTCAGGTTCTCTATATGCTGATTGGAGTAATTAATGCATAATCTCAAATCCCAATTCTAGAACTACTTGTTTGCTTTTTTTCTTCTTTAATTCCTAACTAATTTATAGCTTTAGTATTCATATTACTGTTGGTCTATATATATATATATTTAAAAAATGTAGTATAAAAAAGCACCAAAAAAGTGCAACTCATATACAAAAATATATATATTTTTTGAAATACATATACAAAAATATTACAAGACTATCGATACCTAAATTAGGTCTTCTAAGTACTCACAAGTGTAAAGAAGATGATCCTTAATAAAAAAAATCTTAGGTTTGTGTCAGAAGCCTTGGACATGGCTCTGATTTGTGAATTAATGAAGAAGAAGAGGAAGAAGAAGAAGAAGATAGAGAAGACGAAGAAGAATATTGAAGATGGGGATAAAGGTAAATTTTATTGATTCTGATTCGATGGTTACAGAACAATGAAAAGGGGTTATTATAGGCCTAAAAGCAATAAAGAAAACGTCCTCAGTGGCCGGAATCACACGATGGTAATGAGCTTGGCGTTGGCTGCAGAATGAGATGATGATGACCAGGGCGCTGGCTGCGGGTTGAACTGATGAGCCTGTTAGGGTTTGTCAGACCTGACCCTAACTGGCTCTATGCTTTTACCAATTTGCCTTTCGTGAATTTCTTATTTTACCCCTCATATTACACCCTAAATGGTTTCCTGACAGTTTGGAACCAAGTGTTCTTAATACTATCAAGGGACAATTCTGCAGCCTCAAAAGCTTTTATATTTCTTTCTTTCTAAATAACTTATAAGATAGGTAAAGAGATAAGACCTAAGTTCTTGATGTAGTGTTTTTCCTCATCGATGCCTCTCCAAGCCCATATCTCTTTGACTGAACAGTCACACACACTTCACCCAGCCAGTAGCAAAAAGGACACAAAAGGAGAAGGTGGTTGACAGACTCTGCAATTCTCTTGCATAAGTAGCATCCAGTTAATGATGATATTTCTTTCTTGATCAGATTGTCCATTTTTAGGATACATCCTCTCACCATTTCCCAGTCAAAAAAGAAAAGGTACTCCATGAGATGCATTGACCTTCTTGATCAGACTGCCTACAGTCTTGGTATATGTAATTATAACAAGATCTTTTTGTGTTACTCTCAACCTCCAATCAAATTCAAGGTGTGGTCTTTTTGTTAAAAAAGGAAAAAGGAATCAAGGTTGTTGGAGTAGTTCAAGCAGAAAATCAAGTTCTAATTCTGCAAATCACCCCTAATATGAAAACTAGAGCTAGAAATATTTACAAATGGAATGAAAAGATAGACAAAACTTAGTCTTGTTTGTGTCATTTGTATGATAGGGAAATAGGAATATC